GTTTGTAGTGGAGCTCAAAAGGGGCATATATATACTCGTGGAATAGATAAATAAATAAGCTAATAAATAAATGAATAAATAAATAAATAGCTTAATAAGTAAAATATATAAATAGTCTATAGAAAAAAAAAATAATAGTAGTATAAATAAGATCAGATGTACTCACATATACACACATACATACATACACATACGAACGTAAATATATAATAAAATTTATGTAGAAAATATCACAGGTGGCTATATCTCAATGGTAAGGTCAGTAATTTGACTGGCTTCAGTTTCTTGATCACTTCTTGCGGAGTTGGGAGGCCGCCTGGGTTTCCCTTTCGGCCAGCCTCTTTTCTTTTTAGTAGAAGTTGATGCTTCACTGATATGTGATGATACACTTTCATCGGTATCATCGTCCCTTGTTCGGGTTCTGGTACGCTTCCTTTTTTCGGCTACAGAAGGTTGCGTAGATGTATCAGAAAAATATTGACCGGGAGGTAAGAAGGAATTAGTATTAAAATTATGCTTCTTGGTACTGATTATGTTATCCAGGGTTTCTTTTATTTTACTCTCAATAGACTTAGTTAATTGCGGTAATAACTCTTGTATTATATTATTAATTGACGTACTTGTGGTCGCCGCAATTTCGGAGTAGGATTTTTGAGGAATGGGCCTGATTACTTTTTTCTTTGCTTCTAGATAGCTCAGTTTTTCCATAGTCCTAACTTTTTGAATCGCTATTTCCTCCTTCATCTTAGGGCAAGCTCTTGAATTGGCTGCGTGTTCACCTTCACAATTAACGCAATGCATAGGTGTGTCGCAAGGTGTTGTATCATGTTTGGGTCGTCCGCATATACATATCTCAGAATTTGAGCATCTTTGCGAAGTATGCCCAAACCTCTGACATTTAAAACATCTTAGGGGGTTTGGGAAATAAGGACGCACTTCGAGAGAGTAAAAGGCAGCTTTAACTTTTGAGGGTAGTTTAGGTTTGTCGAAAGTCAATAATAAGTTAGGCGTTTCGACAAGTGAGTCACCTTGTTTACGCATCAAACGTTTAACTTCGACCACACCTTCTGGTTCTAAACCCTCCAATATTTCTTCGGTAGAACTGTTAAGAAAATCTGCACATGTGATTATACCCTTTGAGTAATTGAGTGTACTATGTGGTTTTATTTCAACAATGAATTCGCCTATTTTAGTCACTTTAAGGAGTCTAGACGCTTGATGAGCGGTAACAGTTTCCACTAATAATCCGGTCTTAATTTTCTTAATTGATTTCAATTCGCCAACAATTCCAAATAACAATTTCGACAGCAAGAAGGGGCTAACCTTATCGAAGTTGCCCCCATCGATTCTTTCGACCACCAGGAACCGGGGGATGTTTCCCTCCTTTCCCTGGCTGATCTTGGCCGCTGACGCGGTTGAAATCCCAGTTTTAGGGGTGTTTTGGGTTTTTGCGAGTGAATCCCGATCACTGCCCACTTTTAAGGTAGTGGGTGCACCTGAATCTTGTTTAGGCTGTTCCATAAGATTTTCCAAAAATTTCACCTTCCCGGCTCCCCACCCTCCACGGAGCCTCATTGGGAGGTTATGCCCATAATAGCATCCCGCTAAGGCACAACCCCAGGGATACCGCTAATCCGAAGGAAAGGAAGGTATAGTCCCCCCAGGTAGTTCCACCATACATCGAGAATAGCGAACTATTCCCGTCTGGCTTCTACTACCTGTGGAGGCTCGCCCAACCAGCCCTCTGACGGGATGGCACAGCCGATTGACCGACGCTGGGCTAGGCGCGGCCGCCCTTCTAGACTGACCGCCGGACCAAAGTGGCGTGTTGCCCCCCTGACTGGTAGGGCTCAACCACCAGGATTCCATTGGCCAGCTTACGGGTCGCCGGGCACGGCACAAACACCCGGGAGGCTAAGAGGAAGCTCCACGCGCCGCCTCAACGCATGGGGTAAGGATAGGAGAAGGAAAGTCGGGAGAGCAACAGACAGCTGCACAGGATATAATAAAAGGAGAAAGGATGGGAGAACGAGGGGGGGATAAGCCCAGGGTTTGGCAGAATGAATAAGACTGCCAAACCCCGAACTCCCTGCCTGGGGCCGTGGGGGCGACGCTCCCCATGTATCTTCCTTTGAAACCGGATCAAAGATCCAGCTCCAAAAGTAGATACCCCCTGCGGGGTATTATATTATATTATTATTATTATATTATATTATTATTATTATTATTTTTTTTTTTTTTTTTTTTTTTTTTTTTTTGCTCATAGTCCTCACGTATGGTGGTGTACTATCTTTGAGGGGGAGTTCACCCCAACCAAGGATAGTTTTTACAGAGACAGTGCCTTTCTCACAATATGACACGTTTGTAAGATAACGGCTTTTTGGAATAGTATGTGAAGGCCGTTTGGAAGGTCCAAGGTCTTTAAGCTTGAGGAGACTTGTTTGGTAACAGCCCCTTCCACGGAGATAACAATGGGTACAATCTGCACTTCCCTTAGCTTCCAAATCCTCTTCATTTCAATCGCCAGGTTCTGGTATTTAACAGATTTTTCACGCTCTACCTTGAGGATGTTGTGTGTAAGAGGAATTCCAACCTCAATTATCTGTGCATATTGGTTGCTTTTGTCTATCAGGACAATATCGGGACGGTTAAAGTCTACAGTTTTGTCGGTTAGAAATGGCCGATCCCAATAGAGTATTACATCTTTTGATTCCAGAACTGGCTCAGGCGTGTACTTGTAATATGGCGGAGGAGATTGTACCAAGTTAAGTTTACGAGCTAGCTGTGAATGGATTATTTTTGCAACCTGGTTGTGTCTTCCCAAATAATCGCCAGCTGCCAACGCAGGGCAAGCTCCAGTAATATGTTCGATGGTTTTGCCCGCCTGGTTGCACTTCCTACATTCATCTGGGACGTTGGATTTGAGAATATGTTTTTCATAGTTTTTTGTTTTTATTACTTTGTCCTGGATGGCAGTTATGAACCCTTCCGTTGTTGGATGGAGATATCCCTTTCTCAAATAGGTGAATGACAAAGGTTTATCTATGTTGTCACCTCTCAGTTGGCATGGGTAACGGCCATGGAGAATTTCTCCTCCCAGCATTCTCTCCTCCTAGTATTCGATTCCGAGGCCGTATTTGCTTGAGGTTGCCGAAAGCTCAAAGGGGTAAATGAGTCATCTGCCTCCACTACAGCAGCTATCTTAGGACTTAGATGGTTATTAAAGTAATTTTGTAATTTGGCTATCTGAGACTTGCAGAGTTGTGTTATGTTGAGCAATCCGCGGCCCCCTTGTGCGCGAGGGAGGTACAGCCGTTCGGTTGATGCCTTTGGGTGGTGACAATGGAACTTTGTGAGCTTTACACGAGTGATTCTGTCTAGCTCTTCAAGGTCTGTATTACTACTCCATTTCACAATACCGAACGAATATGTAAGTGAACTTATTGCCCAACTGTTGATTGCTTTGAAAAGATTCTGCGAGTTTAATTTGGTGTTGAGTAGTTTTGTAAGCCGACGGATGTACTTTTCTCTATAGATTGACTTCATGGTAGAATGACACACACCCCTACTTTGGTGCATCCCCAGGTACTTATACGGTTGGTCTTCTGCTAGAGGCGCGATGTTTTCTAAATTTTCTTCCAAAGGAGTTAGGTTACCTTTCCTTATAGTGACAGTGGCGCACTTATCTAACCCAAATTTCATTCCTATATCATTGCTGAATATACTTGTCGTTCGCACTAGAGAAGCAAGATGTTGCCTTGACTCGGCGTATAGTTTGAGGTCATCCATATAGCAGATGGTTGAATCTGGTAGGCTCACTCACATCGAGCCTATACCCGAACTTGGAATTATTCAGCAGTGATGACAGTGGGTTCAGGGCTAGACAGAACCACATCGGGCTAAGAGAATCACCCTGAAATATGCCTCTGCGTATGCGCACGTCTCCTATGTCCTCCGAATTAACTCTTAAAGAGGTTCCCCAGTTTATCATCAGATGGGACAATAGGTTTATGATGCGGATGTCTACTTTATATATATCCAGCACCTTTAAAAGCCAATTATGTGGCACGGAATCAAACGCCTTAGAGTAGTCGATGTAGCAGACATGGAGATTTCTCTTATTTTTACACGCATGCTTCGTAATAACGGAATCAATTATAAGTTTTATATTTTATTATTATTATTATTATTATTATTATTATATTATTATTATTATTATTATTATATTGTTCATTCAATCATCTCCTCTGAGAGGGTTTGATATGCTTAATCCAGGTTTGCACCAGAGGATGTAAGCATTTTGAAGGCAACTACCAATTTTGCAGGTTACAATGTCGAGTTTTCGCCTGCCAGGACCCTACGGACTGTTCTGCATGTCCCCAGTAAAGCGGCTTTCTGAATTTTTTTGTAAACATGTTGGTCAAGGTCTAACTTTTCAAGACTTGTGTGTAACTTCTTAAGGACCTCACCTGTTGCGCCAATAACTATCGGTACAATCGTAACTGTATTCATTCCCCACATCCGCTTTATTTCTTCTGACAGTGGTAGATACTTGTTGATTTTTTCTGAGTAGGTACTTTGAAGGTTGACAGGGAGCGGAACCGCGATATCTATAATGTATGTTATCTTTTGCTCTTTTAACGTTAGCACTATGTCAGGGATGTTATTTGGTATTGTGCGGTCTGTGATTATTTTCCTGTTCCAATACATTTTGTGTGACCCAGTCTCTTTAACTGGGAGGGGCGTGTAGCGATAGTATGGCTCAGTAGGTCCTTCATTGAGATAGCGTTTGACCAGTTCCAAGTAGATTATTTTTGCCACGTCGTTATGTCTTTCTAGATACTGTTTTGGGGCGAGTGTGGAACAGCTTGCGATAATGTGGTCTAGGTTCTCGTCTTTACCTCCACAGATTCTACATTTGATATTGTCTATATTTCTCCATTATTCGCTTTCTGTAGACTTTCGTAGGCAGCACTTGGTCTTGAATAGCCATCACAAACCCCTCTGTCTCCACGAACAGATTACTGGAACGCACCCACTCTTGGGATGCTTTGGTGTCTACTGCCTGGTCTTCAATTCGCGTTCTATAGCGTCCATGTAGTGGCTTGGATTTCCACTTCTCGATCAGTTCGGGGGGTGATGACACCATCGCGGATGGATTGAGAGCTAGGTTGGCTAGGTTCAGTGGGGTAATGCCCTTATCTCTGTTGGCTAGTGCCTGATGCATTCTGCTACTACTCGCCTTTTCCAAGAAGTATGTCCTTAGATTATCAATTTGCTGGTAATGTCTGGACACCATACTGGGGATTCCTCTTCCTCCTTCGCGCCGTGCTAAGTGGAAGCGCTCTATTGCACTTTTAGGATGATGCGCCCTATACCGACGGAATTCTTTCCTGGTACTTATATCTAGGGCTTTCAGCTCAGTATCAGTCCATTTGAGTATACCGAAGGTGTAGGTAAGCGTTGACGCTGCGTAGGCGTTCACTGCAACAGACGTATTTATAGCAGACAATTCTGATTTAAGAATGATCCTTAATCTTCTCAAGTATTCGTCGGTAGATCTTTGCTTCGACATTTTTTGGTCTATGTCTGGTGCCTGGAGGTAGCCTAAGTATTTGTAGCGTTCATCCCTTTGCATATTGATGATCTCCCCTTGCGACCCTCTTACTTTATACCCTTCATGCTCTGTCCACTTACCTTTAGTCATGCAACTTATGCGGCATTTATCTAAACCAAACGTCATTTGCACATCTTTGCTAAATCTGCTCACACAATCCAACAGCGCATGTAGGTGATCCTTCTTCTCTGCAAATAATTTCAGATCATCCATATACCAAAGATGAGATAGTTGTGTACCATCCTCGGCAATCTTTACGCCTTTTTCTTGACTGTTTAACAGCGATGTTAGTGGGCGTAAAGCTAGGCAAAACCATATCGGGCTTAGAGAGTCGCCCTGAAAGATCCCTCGTTTTATACTGACTTCTCCAGCATCTATCTGCGAGTCTGGGGTGTTAAGACAGAGACGCGTTTTCCATTTGGACATTGCATAGGTCAATAGTTTCACGATATGGTTTTCTATGCCATAAAGGTGTAGCACTTCCGTTAACCATGAATGTGGAATACTATCAAATGCTTTCTGATAATCGATGTATGCAGTGAACAAGGGCGACTTCTTTTTTCTGGCACTACCCGTTATTATTTCATCGATTATCAGTTGTTCTTTACATCCTCTTGAGCCCTTCCGACATCCCTTCTGTTCCTCATCCAATAAGTTGTTACGTTCCAAATGATTATGCACTTTGTCAGCCAATATAGCAGTAAGCAGTTTATACGCTGTAGAAAGGCAAGTAATTGGCCTGTATTTTGCGGGATCAGCAGTATATTGTTCAGTTTTTGGGATCAGGTATGTAACTCCTGTTGTTAGAAATTCTGGGATAGTTTCCGGCCTCTCGAGGAATGTTGAGTAGCATTTCGCAAGTTGTTGGTGGGTGGAAGTAAATGCCTTTATCCAGTAATTGTGAACACCATCTGGCCCTGGAGCTCTCCAATTGGAAGTCCTACGTATTGCTTTCACTACATCATCCTTAGTTATGGTCCAAGACAGCATTGCTTGTATGGAAGTTCTAGCCTTCTCTTGCTGATACCAATGCGCTGTTCTGTGTTCTCTGGGGTTGCTCCATATACCGCTCCAGAAGTGTCTTATGTCTTCTGTGTTAGGAAATGATGTTTTTCCTTGTAGTATACGATCTGATTCTTTGCCCACAGATTTATAAAATGCTCTCTGATTTCTATGAAATAGGATGTTTTGTTTACGACGTTGGCTGCTCTTCTTATATCTCTTCACTCTTTGAGATAAGGCTAATAGTCTCTGCTTTAGAAGGTCCAAAACTTCGACTATGGTTGGGTTTTCTTCCGATGTATATCGTCGCATTATTGTGTCCCCTTTCTTTTCACTCTTTGGCTGTATGTCGGTTATTATTATTATTATTATTATTATTATTATTATTATATTATTATTATTATTATTATTATTATTATTATGATATTATTATATTATTTTATTTTATTATTATTATTATTATTATTATTATTATTATTATTATTATATTTTATATATTATATTATTATTATTATTTTATTATTATTATATATTATTATATTATTATTATTATTATTATTATTATTATTTTATACTATTTTACTCCTCTGTCGAAGGTATTAATATTTCCCTCAGGCGGTTAGCCAAAGTAAGGAAATAGATCTGCAGCGGTCTTTTCACCGTATCCGGTTCTCATCTCCTAAAACCCTACGTACTGTCCTACATGTTCCCAGCAGTGCAGCTTTTTGCAGTTGCAAGTATATTTTTGGATGGAGCTGTAGCTTTTCCAGACTCTTGTGTAGTTTCCTTGGTATCTCTCCAGTAGCTCCTATTATAACTGGTATTATAGACACATTGCCCATTTCCCACATGCGTTTGATTTCGTCGGAGAGTGGCAAATACTATTGATTTTTTCCGCATGGGTGGTTTGGATATTAGTGGAAGAGGCACAGCTATGTCTATTATAAACGTCGTTCTTTCTTCTTTTAGTGTGAGCACTATGTCAGGAA